AAATGGCGCAGGAGCCGCTCCAAAAGATTGAGAGACCGATTACCCGCCTCTTAACATTATATTTCTTGGTGATCGAAACGTCACAGTGTTCCACTTCTCTGAATCCGTTGGGCTGGGTGACTATTCGAAAGACATCGGCAGTAATTTACGAAGTTGGAACTCTGAGCGAACGACCTCTCGAGAATACGGAAGACTTTAATTGCGGAAACATCGGTTCATGGCACGTTCACAATTGATTGATTGATTTTGAGATGTTCAAACTTTCCGTGTCTCTGTTGAAGCAATCAACTTTCCTACACTACCAAACGGTTCCCCCGCTATACAAAATGGGATATTGCGCTAAAATATTGCGCAAATATACTCAAATATTATGCTTCAAAATTGTGTAATTTTTTTCTAGGTTTTCCCATGTTTGACGCAAGCACTGTGGAGAACTGTGACCCTGATGCGGCATATGCTGAGCATTCAAATGGAAAGTGCAAGTGTCGAGATGGGTTCATGAAACAAAACGGAACTTGCGTTCCAACTGGTACTATAAGATGTGGAAATTTTGTATGTACATACAAATTTTAGAGTACCATTGCCCCTATGGCAAAGCATTACGCAGAGATGGCCAACGCGTTCTTTGTGACATTACCATACCGCAGTGGCCAAATATCGCGTCACAGGATAGCTGCCCTCCGAAATACCAGTGCTTCCTTCACATTCAGACAAACAGTGCTTCCGGAAATCCAGCCGGTCATTGCTGTCCAATTTCGAACGGAATGCTTTGGGAAATCAGCATATGTCCCGTTGGGAATATTCTCGCCGGAGCCACTTGTACAGATTTGTTCTACATGCCGATGGACAAGATATCACAAGACAATCGGCGCACCTGCCCTCACAGTACACACGAATGTGTCGGTTCTGCGTGCTGCCCGTCACCTTGTCCAGCTTCAAATATGCACTTTAGCTTCGAAGGAAGATGCAGCACAACAGTTAGCTTGGAAGAAGAATGCCAGATAGACGCCATGTGCTTCGCGAACGCGAAGTGTTTGTCAAACGGAAGAGGTATAACTTCATTAATTAGTAAATATTGTCAAGTCTTGACTTTTGATTGATGCATTCCTCTTAGTTCTGATTAAATCGACTAATCATGCACCAGATGGGCCAAAGCGCAACACATAGCGTTCTGAACGTTTCACAAGTTCTGGTATGGCCAAGGCAAATCATTACTCTCCTCTAACTCTTCTGAGCCTTTTCTTCCTGTGATGGGTAAAATCAGAACACAGCCACTATGGCAAACTTTCAGTCTATGTTATCATTGAACATCCTCTACCGTTGTCATCATGATTCATTAGTCCCAACCCTCACCCCTTCTTCTCTATCTTCACAGAACGAGGAAGATATAGACAAAGACGGTTCGTTGGTACCATTCCTCATATGTAATGCTCATACGCCAACCCTTGATCGAGGGCATTAGAAACTATGGCATATCATTGCTCAGAAACGTCGCTGCTGAACTTTTCACCCGGAAGGTTCGTCACTACGTGATCTTGAACTTAAAGAAATGTTATAAGTAGCTTAACTGAAGAACTGCTTTGACACTTTTTGTGTTTTGCACTATTCTTGATTCACAAAACGGGAAACAAACTAAGTATGTGACAGTATGGGCCAATAGGTAGCGATTAGGATGCGCTTGGACAATGATATATATATGTAATATTTCTCTAAATCGCAATGTCGGTATCGTTGCATAAATTTGTTGCGTATAACTTTAGGTCAACGAACCTGTCAATGCCCCAATGGATTTCTGAAAGATACATCAATGGGTTATCCAATCTGCAAGAAAGACGTTATGGCCATGCCGCCTAAATGACAATGCCTCTTTGACGAATTCGAAACTTTAACAAGTTCCAATGCTTTCATTGTTGTCTGTGTTATATGCATGTTCATCCAATAAAACGTTTTCATGATTCATTAGTGCCAAACCTAACTAAGAGCATTTTAGCGAAGCGAAGAAAAACAGTCGCTTTGGGTCGCACAAAATTATTATGGCACTACAACCACCACCTGTTTCAAACTCTATGGCGATCATCAGCAAAGGTTTTCTTCTTTTCGCAGAGCAACACCCAGTCAAAGGACAATGACATGACAAGTTTCCAATCTGATGGCTTGGAATAAACATAGAAATTATAAGCCAAGTCTGCCACTCCTGAATCTGCGCCAACTTACAAGCGTCACAAACGAACAACTGTAGATCAGACAATTCTTTTGCTTGCTGTTCAAAATACAAAAGACTACAACAAAAGCAAATCCCATAGAAGATGGTCTACCGTCTGACTTTTTCACGTGCAATCTTAGGGACAGTAAATGCTAATCTCTGTAAATCTGAAACTTACTCAAAGATATAATTGGCTGATTTCTCAAGGAAGATTTATTGTACACGTGGTTACATTAGTGCTTAGACTTATGTTTTGACTATGCACTATTTTTCATATTCTGTCACAACAAAATTTGTCAAAGCATTTAGATGGATGCACAACAAGCTGAAGCATCGTGTTTAGATTTGAACTGTTCAAATTAAGGGGTTGCGAAAGTCAGCATAAAGAAATGCGGATTCTCAGTTATAGCTGTTTATGACTTCGTTGTCTTGCACGACAATACGGATTAGCGAACGCACGCCACCAAAAATACCTATCTATCATATTCACCAGTTTTTTAGAAAAGCTTAAGAGTTTCTGCCTAAAAATTTAAAGCCCATTTTGCATTGCCATTAGTGCGATGGTATCGACTTCCGTTTTAATTTTTTCTTCTTTCTGTAAATTCCGATATTATCAATCATCATTGAAAATTTACTTTGACAAAGTAAATCGACTCCGCACTGTCATGCATTGACATCTTTGTCGTACACAACATTGGGAAGAATTAAGATTTTCCTGGAACTCAGGATAGGTCTTCTCCAGACAAGAAAAAGCAGACTTAATAGATGTTTA